TCCGTCGAGAGCGCTGCTCCCGCCGCTCGCCCGCCCGCCTGCGCCCGCGCACATCTGCTGCCGGCCCCCCGCCGCTGCACAGCTGCATGCCCGCCGCCGTCTCCGCACATCTGGATTCGCTGGAGTCTCGGGCCTTCCATGCGCTGCGGGTGCTGCCCTATATGTTTTACGTGGGCTTGTTCTTTGTCAACGTGCTGATCCTGTACTATGCGTTTCTCATGGAGTACATCGTCCTCAACGTAGGCATCGTCTTCCTGCCCGAGGACATGGACCAGGCGCTGGTGGAGCTGGGCGTGCTGTCGGACCCCGGCTCCGTGCTCTACGACACGGACAGCGAGCTGGACGTCTTCGATGGCTACCTGGAGTGAGCGGCCCCGGCCCCGGCCGCTGCTCGCCGCACCCGCGGGCCGCGGCGCTGCCTGCTCCGCCCTGCACCTCGGGGCCGCGCTGGGAGCAGGGCCGAGCGCCTCGCCACGGGTCGGCCCGTCCGTGCCCGGACCGCGCCGCGCAGCGCCGGGGGCGCCGCAGTCACGCGCCGCTTCTCGGTTCAGCCCCGTCCCCCGCACCCAGTTGCGCAGACCGAGGGGCCGCTTCTCAGAGCCCTGCGGCTCCCGGGCTCTTATTTGACAGCTGGCAGGTGCTGAGCAGCTGCGTGAATCAAATCCTAAAACTGCCTGGACTCTGGCACCGAATCAGAACTGTGGTCTCAACCTGCTGCATTGCTCTGTCAAAAGGCCAAGATCCCCTATGCCTGTTTGGAGTGGGAACCTTTTTTAAAAATAGGGAACACTGAAACCTACCAGATTTACTATTCTCTTCCACTATTGCAACCAGGTTAGCCAGTAGCAGCGGGGTTGGGTGGGCTGCAAATTGTGGGGCTTCCGATTTTATGTTAAACTAAACAATTGAAAAATGCTCTAAGCAGAATTCTGAGCTGTTAACTCTAAAAAATGGAAACCTGATTAGTCCAGAGAAATACTATTTTCATACACGGATGCATGCTTGGTCATGCTTGGGCAGCCAAGTATATTAATAAAAATACTGACAGCTTGATTACAAGCATGTTATAAAATGGACTCAGAGAGTTTTTAGCTAAAGAATATTGAACGTACAGATGCAAAATAAATGCTAGCACCTCTTTCCAGAAATATCTTTGAATGTTGCATTTACAGAGTTGAAAGGGAGATGCTGCTATTTTTCTCCAAATGGCTACACAATTACATTAAACATAGCAGCTATGAAGGAACGGGATCCCAGCTGTCCCACAGCAGCCGGCTTTTGCGAACAATTTACAGATTAAAAAATTTCCTCGCAGTTTTGTCCCTTCTCAAAGTGGTAATTAGACTTAGCTGCAGTGCAAGTCCCCTCTTAGGGCTGAGCACTGAGTGGTGAACCACTTAAAATTGTCCCTTATCACACTAGGGAAACTGAGGGTCCTCAGCTACCAGACCTCTAAAGAAAATTCAAGTGCAGGATTGGTGGGTCAGTGGATGGCCTAGTAAATCGGTTCTAAACTGAGTGTTGCTAACCAGTCAGAGTAATTAAGAGCTGAGCCTTGGTAAGGGCTCAGCTCTCTCAGTTATATAGGAAACAGTCCTATCAGATCTCCCCTCCCCCCGCCCTCCCCCGCAGGTAGTTGTATTCTGATCTTTGGGGTAACTCTTTGGAATAACTCTTTGGGGTTATCTTTGGGGTAACTCTTTGGTGTAACTCTTTTGAATCAGAATACAACTACCCCGCAGGTAGTTGTATTCTGATCTTTGGGGTAACGCTATATTGACTTTTTATGTTTCCCTCTTGTGATTAAATTGTAGAAATTGTTTCCGTTATTCTTCTAGAACCCATATAAATTTGAAGTAACTGCTCTGTTTCAATGGATAGCTGCTCGCACTTAAGCAGTGAATGGGCAACTCCTTTGTATACAAGGTAAACTTATCTTAGGACACATCTACGCGAGATTTTTACTGCGCAGTTGACTAATTAGCTGCACTAAACATCTTGTGTCTACGTGTGCACCCCTATTAGGCTGGAGTAGATTAACTCTGTAGCAGGGTTGTGCGAAGCGGGCCCTATTTGAGTCGGATTTAGATTCGGCCCCAGTCAGGGACAGTGATTCCATTCGTTGATTCACATCACTGTCCCTGATTCAATTCGGCCGAATCCAAATCTGAAGATTCGATGCTGATTCAGAGAATCAGCAATTCAGACATATACACAGCTTTAAATGTTTTTTCTACATACCTCGAGGTACCAGCGCAGCTCATGAACGCTGAGATGCTGGGGTGCATGGAGCATTCCACAGGAGTTCAGGGGGGCCCTCCACATGCTCAACGGCGAACCTGGAAGTGGACTGGAAGTACTTCTGGTCCACTTCCAGGTCTGCTGGGGAGCACCCCTCTGCTGGGGAGCCCCCCCGGCACCCCTTGGCTTGGCAGTCAGCCACAAGGGGACCCTGGGTGGCCCCCCAGACCCAGGAGGCACCAGTTGTCAAGCCAGGGAGGGCAGGGGGCCCCCCAGCATGCTCCCCGGCAGACCCAGAAGTGGACCAGAAGTGCTTCTGCTCCACTTCCGGGTCTGCTGTCAAGCACGCTGGGGAGCTCCCCTGTGCTTCTGTGGGACGCTCCATGTGCCCCAGCATCGCAGCGTTCACAAGCCACCTCCTACCTACAGGTAGGTAGAAAAAGCATTTAAAGCTGTGTCTATGTCCGAATCTTTCTGAATCTCTCCGAATCAATTTAGACGGTTCCAATCTGATTCAGAGAGATTAAAGGGTCCTCTGATTCAATTCGGATTCGGAGATTCAGCCACCGAATCGGGCCAAATCTCCGCCGAATCGAATCGCGGGCTGAAGCTTTGCGCAGCCGTACTTGTAAGTACAAGTACTATCCTGCTGCAGAGTTTTTTACTCAATAGCAGTGCATGTGTAGACGCTGCCCCTGCTGGCTGGGGCATGACGGCACTTCAGTGCAGAGGCCAGCTAGCTTCACACTGAAGCACCCTCATGCCCCAGTCAGCCCCTGGGTTCCCTGCCAGCCAGAGCTGCTCCAACTTGGCTCAACATATTACGCACCTAGGAGCACCAAACTGGAGCAGTAGGCTCTGGAGTTTATTCATGCACACTAATTGCACTTGTAGACACATCCTAAGATTTATATATACACAACTGAAGTCCACAGAAGTTATTCACACACAGTAAAACAGAATTTGGTCAACCAGCTAAAAGATGCTTTGGTGATGATGCTTCTCCCGCCCTCCCCAGTAGTTAAGTACACTCACCCTGGATATTGGATAGCCGGAGTTGCTGTTCTCCTGAGCAGAAAGGGGTTTCAATCTGGATCTCCAACATCTCAGGGGAGACATTCATGAATAACTCACTGAAATTAAAATATTTTAAGCATAATGCAGCACTGAGACATTCAGTCTAAAACGGCAGGTGACAAGAGCAAGCTCAATTTTATTCAATTTTCTTGACAGGTTTCTTCATTTAAATAATGCTGGAAGTGTTTTCAAAGTGCTATGCATCCCAAACCCTGCCACAAGTTGAGATGAATATTCCAGACGGTTTCTTCTTGCAGCCACAGTACTGTCAAGCTCCTGACCAAATATTACCATAAGCAACTACATTTTTGTTGGGCTTGATCTCCTTGGTTTTCAAGCTGTTGCTTTAAGGGCCCCAGTTCTGCAGGCAATAAAAGTACATAACTGAAGTTAATGGGAGATTTGCACATACCTTGAATTTGGTAGCCCTAACACGAGACAATTAGGTGTGGTGACAGAGGGGTTATGCTATCTTGCCATTGCTCCAGGGATGCAAGTTCAAGCCTTACTCTGCATTCTTACAAAGGCTGCCTCCAGTTGACTCAGTTGTAACTGCGTGTCTGGCTCATTCAGTCCGAGTCATCAAAGGTGGTTGGATGTGATGCTAGCTACATTACCCCCTTGTGTGCTACTGACTACAGAAACTATTGCATCTCAAATGTACTAACCCAATGGGCTGTTGGATACATGTAGACATTTGACTTGAATGTCCAGGTACTCTCCCACTTGAAAATACTTAACTAGAGAAAAAATGCTAATTGTTCTTCTTCACCTCTTTTTTCATGTATCCATATTAAATGATCAGGGTTTAGGGTGCCAAACTTTACTGAATATTATTTAACCACTTGGAACAGGCTCTAGCTGTTCTCATGCAAATTTTAAGCTTAGGCACTTAAAACTGTATATTCAATTTATGGAGTCATGCATCTGAAAGCTGAAAGTGTTAGTGCTGAGCATCACAATACTTGTTGGAGAGTATGTCCTAAGTGACTTGAAAACTACTCAAGGTTTGAGTTGAGTCAGAGTTGCTGGTAGAATGATAAATTCTTGGAATTAATTCTGGCTTTGTTGAAGGGCATGGGAATTTTGCAATCATTTTCAGTGGGAGACAGAACAAGCACATTCTGATCAACACATATTCTGGTTTCAGGTTTTCCTCTGACTGAGGTCTTCTGTCTTACAAATTACCTTCAAGAAGGTCTCTAATTACTTCAAATGAATCTCAATCCCAGATGAATCCCCATGCCAGGGCTCAGGGGTCCTCCTTTCTGTAAAAGGAGGACTCTGTAGGATCCCCACTAAAGCTAGTCAGTTCTTTGAGCTGATTGAGCCACTTGAAGGGCTATAATAAGTTAAGTAGTGGTGAAACAAAATGTATTATATATAGAAAACTTAGCCTTTGTTTCCATCATCTCTTTGCTCTAGATAGAAATTAATCGGTGACTAGTATTCTTTTAAAGTGATGCTGTATGTAAATTCTGGTTTTCTTAGCAATGATCTAGATGGGGGTGGGGAAAGGGGCAACCTGCAACACGGGTGCCACAAGTGGCAGGGGAAGCCTCTGTGTGTGATGGCAGATTGGGGAGGGGATGGCAGCACCATGACAGATAGAGCAAGGAGCAGAAAGAGCAACAGATGAGACAGGGAGCACAGGGAAGGAAGCAGAAATCTGAGCAGCAGATTGGGTAGGGAAGAGGGATTGGAGTGACACTTGGAGAGGGCACCAGGCTAATTTGTGGCATGCCTACCATAAAGATTGGCCGCAACTGGTCTAGACAGGAGAAAATCTTTTGCATACATCACTTTATCAGGATACTGTATAAGGTTGTTTCCTATGGAATGGATTAAGCAGAATGTTAGATCATAGTTATACCTTTCTGGGTATATCTTTCTTTGACCTAAGGCCCTAGATGTATCTACAGACCCATCACATTCCCTAAGATTGGCCAAGAGCAACTTCCTGCAAGTAACTTTGGTGCACCAAGTTCACTTGGCAAAAAACATCTGAAGGGTAGTTCTTGGCAGTCGCTCAACTTTGGAACTTCTTTCCCCTTGAGGCCCACCAGAGCCCAAGCTTGGACATCTGGAAATGCTGTAAGACCTTCTTAAATGGACAGACATTTAGCAAGCCAGGCTAGGCTGGGGTACTATCTAAGGAGATTATATTTTATATTCATTCCATTTGCTTTTACATGCTATTTCTATCTTGTACTGTAAATTACCCTGAGCCGTTTCAGGAAGGACAGTATATACAACAGATAAATACATAGTATAATTTTCACTTAATGGAGATGTATCAAATCTGTACCATGTGGTTAAAAGGTACTTAGTAGAATGTGCCATTTGAAACCCTGGTCAGATAATACAAGCATACAAAATAAAAAGGTGTTTATATTCATCTCTTTATGTGCTACTTTATATGTATTTTGAGATATATACTCAAGTGGGAGGAGTTGGTTATTAAGGCTTCCAAATTTGTGACATGATCTGCAGCAACTCTTGAAACTCATTAGCTTCAGTGGGAGTTGCATACTGTTATAGGCTGCAGAACTAGGGTCTTAGAGGATTTTACTAGCTTTGAATTACATGGAAATTCTACTTGCAGGAAGGTTTCACAAGTTATAGCACCAAACAGCTTGAAAATGCTTCCATACCTGTTTAATTAAGAAAGCTGCCTGTGCAAATTGAACAGAATTGGGCTTGCTATTTTAGATTGTGTGTCTAGGCTCTGTGCTGTGCTAGAAGAAGATTTGTAGGCTTGCTTTTTTCCTTGGACCTGCCTGAAAATTAGGTATAGACTAAATATGGGATGCTGTAATCAGTAAAACCCTTGAATAGAAGAATGTATTTACTTAATTCCTTTTATACAGAGCACTGTCATAAATAAGATGATTTAATTGTAGTGAATTATTGCAAATTTCTTTTATGAGCAGAGTCCTAAATTAAATAGCTTGTGAGTCAGCATTTTTGCTTCATGCCAGCATTTTAATCCCAAATCAGAGTGAAAGGAATAATTTAGAATTATGAAGGTTAGTGCTACAATCATTGGTACCAAGACAACATTAAATTTGCAACAGAAAATATTTCTCATTCAGTACATACAGGTATCAGTTAAAGACTTTTTCATAATGTCACTAGTTTGTAGGAAATGATTGTAGTCTGAGTTCTATTGCACATGGTCACGGACTCGGTACTTATCTGTAAACTGGGGCCTGCATTGTTTTTTCACTTTTTCACAAGTTATCCATCCGAGATCCTGCTAAAAGATTAAGCATTATGTTAAACATATAATTAAAACCCCACCATCTAGTGCAGGTCAAGAGGCCTAAAAACCTGACCCCATCAAAATTAAACTTCCAAACTGGCAGGAAACACACTCCTCACAGCCTAAAAGTGCAGGGGTTTATCTCATCAAGAGAAGGAAAAGCAATCATGGCTCCTTTAGAGCTACCCTCACCAAGGTTGGCTGCCTGGAGGCCAGAAATTATTGCAAGCGGTGTGGGTGGGGGTACAACTTACCTATTTGTACAGGGAATGTGCAGTGTTCATTCCTACCACCACCAGTGGAACAGGGTTTATCATAAGTGATTGGTGCCTCCTGAGTCTGGGGGGCACCTGCAGAAGCCAGCATTGGCGGTGGTGGCGGGGACGGGGCTTGCAAGCACCTGCAGAAGCTGCTGGCAGCAGCAGGGATGGTGTTGGCGAGCACCCACAGAAGCCAGCAGCGGCGTTCATAGTGGGGACAGCCCTGTCGGGGGGGGAGGGCACATGACCCCCATGCTCCCTTTACCAGTTGCCTAGGGCGTTTATGACCAGAATGCAGGATTACTCCACCTCACTTTTTCCTTTAGGCCTAGGAAGGATTTTTCCTCTTATCACAGGCTTTTTTTCCCCTCTCCCCCACCCCTCCTTTCTTTCCCCACAACTGGTTGCGTATGTCAGGATCAAATTGTCACTGCTTAGCAGGCTCATAGTTCAGATGCTTGTTCCATTGAGGGATCCAGTTCCATGATATACCAGATCTGGAAGTATACTTAGGGGAAGGTATCTTCTAAGGAAGCAATGGCCCCTAATGTCTGGTACAGCTGAGAGGCAATCCTATTTGCTCATCACCTTGGATCCAGGGTAAGATGGAAGAGACCTGGCAACACAGCCCCTGGCCCCGCCTGTAACTCCCGAAGTCTAAAGAGAAATCCAGTCTGTCTCCCCCTTCACACCCCTCCAATATACCAGAAACCTGCCAACACCAACCTTAGGATCTTCAGTAGAAAAAAACCACTAAGCCCCAATGTGCTATAGGACGAAAGCCAGAGAAACCAAGCGTGCTGCCTATACTTCAGGGGATTCGTCCAGGGGAAATGCTTCACTGCAATTACAGGGGATTTGTTAGGTAAAACATGTCCAGATGAACCTAGGAATGGACTGTGCTCAGTGCTACAGAGGAAGGCAAAGACCTCCACAATCTTAGACTGTCTGACCTGGGAAAAATTTCTTTCCTGACCCCACATCTGACTTGCTTTAGTTCTGAACATGTGAGCGAGACACCAGCAAGGTACCAGAGATGTTTTTCAGTACTACTACATACAAACTGCATGTGTGATATGTAAGGAAGGGGCTGTCATTCAAGAATTGTGCTCTATAGCCACACTCTCAGGTGTTCAATGAGCTGATGCCTCTCTTGGCACAAATCTATTGTCTCAAGACAGACAGAACCAGTAGTATAGTACAACCAGTGCCTCCCACATAATCTTGGATATTTTAGAGGAAGGCTACACATCCCCACACCCGCAAGTCTAGTTACTCATTCAAGGAGGAATAAAATTCTTCCTGACCCTTGGTAACAACCAGTGGAAGCCCAGAAGCATTGGATTAGTGGATTACGTGTAATAACAATATGATCCAGGGAGTATATTAAGATTTTAAGAGGAAGGAGAATAAATGGAAAGGAATCTAATCCAGAAAGGACAGGCATAGCTACTCACCCTCGCCTTCCTGGAATGATAAAAAATAATGATCTTCAGAGTGTGATTCATTAGTGGGTAGTGTTCCTAAAGGAGTGAATGAAGTTACTACCTAATTAAAGCTTATCCTTGGCATCCTGGCCTTCTTCATAGTCAAGACAAAATGTGATTAGTAGAGTGGTGGTGAACAAAGTAGGCAAGATGTACCCAAAGCTTAAACACTTTCTCTCAAGATTATATTATGAATTAGAAAGCACACAGTGCCAAATGCAAAAGAAAGTTATTTTATGCCCTCTGTGCTATTCTGACCTGTGAGAAGCAGCAGTTTAAGAAACAAAATTAGCATGGATTATTTTATTGGCATTATTATTGCTTTAAATGCTGGGGTTCTACTTTAGCAGCCAAATAATTCAACCCTTGCTGACATTCCTGTATAAATGACTGCATTTATAGCATCTTGAAAAGATTTGGCTTCCTTTGTTTAAATCATATAGATTTAGTTTCAAATTAAGTTCATAGGATAGATTTTTTTAAAACAGTTGAGTGGGTAGACAAGAATTTAATGTGCTGGTCAACTATATCATTCACATACCATTTAGTATCTGCCACTGTAAATTACTAGCTTGTTCTAGTAGCCTATAACAATATTTCAAACATTTTTTAGTCTGCCTTATGCTATACTCTGAAAGCCTAACTGCATAGGCCCCAGTCAGACTGCCACACAACCCCCTCCCCCTAACAGCTGAGGGTCAGGGAAAATCCAGCACTTCTCCCAGCCACCAATCCCTGCCCCATCCCACCCCCAGACCAGTCCCTGGGCTTTAATTGTTGCCCTCCTTCTCTCCCCCATGGGGCTGCTTTTGAATTTCAGCAATTGAATATTGAATTCAATAGCTTGTCTAAGTTTATCCCAACCAAGCACTTTGTCCAGTAAGAGATCTTGCCCACAAAAATTCTTGCCCCACATATTTCCTGGAGCATCCTGGCTACAACATCACTCTGAATACTACCTAAACTTCTTATTAAAATTGTTACTTCTTTTGTTCTTTGTTACTAGTTAAGGCAAGTAGTAAAGTTGTAAGCATTTGCAATAGGGCTTTATAAGAAGACTTTTCCCCTAAGGCTAGAGTCAGACATTCAAGCCTGAGCCTGAATTGATCCAGTATTTGCAGGTTAGACTAACCTGGCTAGGCTGAACTGGTTTGTAACTGGACAGACATTTTCTCTGGACAGGAAATTCAGGCACATGGCTGCAGTGGCTCAAGCTAGAAGTCAGGGGGGCACTAGAGCAGCCCTCCCATCATTCCACAGTGCTGAGCTGAAGGTGGACGTGGCCAGGACCTGGCAGGACCTCTGATTAGGGAGGTCTGCCTGCACCATCCCAGGCTTTTCCTTGCTTGCTGCTCATGGGGCGGGAGTGTTACCAGCCCCCAGCCCCCTGCTAGTACTCTGAGGCAAGGGGTGTGTGCAGTGCATGCATCTGTTGACCATACAGAGCTTTTCAATCTTCCTCCCTGCTTCTTTATACTGTCTGTAGCAAACTGACGGGCAAGCAAGCCAGCAGAGGGCTGATAAGAGTGTTTATCACCGAATCAACAAAACAATAGCCTCTCTCCATTAGTTCAAACTCTTCTTAAACAGCTTACCAGCTGACTTGTTGATTAACTGCAAAAGCCCTAAGGGGTCACTGTTCTGTCTGCCTGTCCCAGTGACATTGGAGACACACACAGACACCTCTTGGAATTAGCCAACATACCACATGCCTTGGGTCCCTGGGACTGGGGTCTGTGCTGTGGGAAATAGGGAGGGAGGGGGGATCCCTGCTTGTCCAACAGGCAGTGAAGTAGGTGTAGAGCAGGGGGAAGCCACGGAGCTGCAGCCAGGGAGCAGAGGGGAGGGGCCAGCCCTGCTGTGGAGCAGAGAGCCCCGCCCAGCAGCATCTCACCAGTTCAGTTGCAAAAGGCCTTTAGAAGAGGTGGTGATAGGGTTTACACTTAGCTACGGTTATGAATCATCCCTTAGAATTCTTAAGGCACATTCTCTTAACAAAGGTAAATTAGATGAGGCAGAATGGTGCATGGCTTATAGATCTTTGTAACCAAAACCCAGCAGCTTGTCCTGGAGAATTATTAGTCTCTATAGCTGCTTATTGGAAGGTCCAGTTCTTTAGGTCCAGCAGTAACTTTGTAAGAAAGATACTGAAATTAGAAGCTATGTCAAAGTGTGGACAGTGTGCACAGTTAATTCCTTATGATTATACAAACAGTGATGAAGATCACATGAATCGCATCCATTTAAAATCGTTTACCCATGACAACAGATCAAAATATTTTTTTAAATAAAGGGAAAATCTAATAAGAACAAGCTTAATATAAGACAGACTACTCTTCTGAATCTCCTGACTGCAATGGTTGGTCCATAGAAACACCCCTTTGTAATGATGAGCCCCACTTCATCTAATATATTTGTGTGTGTATGTGTGTGGACTTATAGGAGACTTATGTGTTGGAGTTAACTGTTGTTAGGCACCTTAGAGAAAACAGATCTGTATTCTGACTTCTAGAAGGCAGAGTTGGGAGTTGAGCACCCAGTCACAAAGGTCTTTTCATTCCCCTTCACAAGCAGTGATGAAAAATAGCACACTGAGGCCACCTGTCCGTACAATGAAAGCCAAACTACTAAAGGAACCAGGGCTGGTTATAGCTCCACTATTAGAATAGAAGCTAAAGGGTGGGATTTATTTTTTAACAGTTTGTGCTCAAAAAGGGCTGCCAACCTAATATTACAGTACAAACAATAATGACAAACGCACGGGTGAGAACTTTGCCCAGCCTGTTACAGAGACATAGTCCACACACGATAGTGTATGTAAACCAAAGCAAAGACATTCACAAGGTTTCATTTTATTAACAATGAAACAGTTATACCAGTAAATATCAGCCCATATCTTCACCTTATGCTTAACCTCTCTCTCAGTGCTCTTTTCTTTCAGGTATGCTGTACCCAAACCTTATGTCTTTATATCCAGATGGTAGAAATCACCTGCATCCAGAGCCATCCCTGAGGGGGTGTGAATCGGGGCGACCACTCCGGGCCCCGCACTTTGCGGGGCTCTGCGGACAGTGCCGTACAGGCCCCATTGCAGACGCCAGACGCTGCCACTGCTGAGCGCTGCCGGTTGTGCCACCGCTGAGAGCTACCAGCTCCGGCCACTCGCCACCCGCTCCTTTCTCCTCCCCTCCCTCCGCTCCACTGGCTCCGGCCACTCACCACCGGGCCCTGCACACCCCTAGGGACGGCTCTGCATCAGTGAGTCAGCAGAGCTCATGTAACTAGATTCTCATCAAGATAAACACCTGATAAGAAGGTAGGGTGTTTTAGATACTGCCAAGGTCTACAACAATGCTCTCAGTACCATTGAGAAAGCTGGACATAAGGATAATAACTCTTGAAGTAATGGTTATTTACATACTCATACGCCTACCAACACAACTAGCAAGTATATGCAGTGTCAAATAAATACAATATAAGACCAAAACTATGATCTACATGATCAAATATCTCACCGTGATAATCTACTCTCTCTCTGTAGTACTCCTATTGACATAAAAACAAATTCTGTTACTTGAAAAATAAATTCATACCAATTGATTAATCTAGCAGATGTACAAAATAGGCATGTACCACCTCTGAGATGCATAAAAAACACAGATAGGTAAGCTATGAGACTGTCTTTCAACATTTAAACAATTACCATTTTTTTCTTTATCCATCCATAAAATGTGTTCATCTTATGAGAGCCTAACTATTAAAGAGCAGGACAGGAGCTGTGAGGGAATTATCTTACACTTTCCTCTGAAATATCTGTCAGACAGGAAACCCCAAGCCAGACAGATATTGGACCTGATCAAGTATGGCAAGTCCTGTTTCTAATATCTGAGATATTCCTGATCTCTGATCCTTCCATATGGTACTAATGCCAACTTATATGGGAGGACAGCACTAACATAAGGTAAAAGAAATATTCATCTGTTTATTATTTTGCACCTTTCTTTACCTTTTGAAAGCAAGGATAAGCTTGAAGCTCCCCACATTCCAAAGTGTTTGTTTCTGTTACATTAGTTTAATTGGCTAATGATGTGACTGGATTTACTCATGGTACAACATTACCCTATACTGCAGTTGAATGACACCGACCTACGCATTTCCTTTTAAAACCCCATGTATCACTGGCCACTGTCATTGCCTTGTGTTACTCCAGTACAGAGTATGCATGTCCAGTATGGGAATGATGAGTTCATTCCAAGAAACCAGACCCAGTTCTAAATGACAGCTGTTGTGAAATAACAGGATGTCTAAAGCCAACGGCAAAGGATAGCCTGTACTTACTGGTGGTATTGTACCACCTGATATCAGGAGAAAGGTAGCAAGCCAAAAAGAAAGATTACAGCAGATGGAAGACCCTAGGCATCCACTCTATGGTCCCACGGAAGTAACTAAAATTCTTAAAGTGCAAAAGAATTTTGTGACCAATGTTGCAATGTTGTACCATTGGTCATGACAGCTGATAGGGTGTGACTGGCGTAATGGAAGGAAAGCTTACGTGCAATCAGATGCTCTGAAATGGACCCAGAACCCCAGGAGGACCTTCCCTGAGGGACTGATTTAGACTGGCCAACATAGCGATGCCTGAATCTCCTGCGTACAAAAAACTGAAAGATCAAAAACTAACATTATCAAATGGGGCTACTCTAATGATACAAATATATGTGAGTGTGGTGAAGTACAGACTATGAAGCACCTGCTTGGTTGCCAACTCCTTGATGAGACCTGTACGAAGGAGGACCTCGCTGCAGCAGCAGAAAGAGCCATCACTTGTGCATGCTTCCGGAAAAAAAAGTCTAGTTTATGACAAGGACATGAGAAGAAAAAGACTGGCCATTAAATTCTTTTGAACACATTCTGAACCCAACCCCCAGAGTGATCACAAGGCTGTGACACTTCTGTCTCTTTAATTAAATATAAAATAACCATCATAACCATCCTGCAGCACCTTTCCCAGGAGCAGGGCTATTAGTCCTCAGAGTCTAGTCAGATTCTGATTTCTCTAATGACATTTTACATAATGAGATCAGTCCTTCTGTTCCAGTTGTATATAGATGTCACTTTCTGTCTAAAATTATTATAATCACACGTGAGTATACTTCAGTTGCCAGACACATGGTTTGTGGATATGAGTAAAACCAGGAATCTAAGTTTTCCAATGGCTAGAGCTTTTCAGAGACTTAGTAGTTCATGAAATTCAGACTCAATAACTTAAGAAATCACTTTCATGCTGTAGAATAGTATCCTGATGTAGCAAATGCAACTAGGTATAAGGATAAGTTACTGAAGAAACAAGAATAATGCTGTTATTTTCAGGTTGTATTGATACAAATATTGGTGCAAGTATTAACTGCTTACTAATTTCATAATTTCAGAAAAAGTCAGGCCCACATATAGGCATATGGTGTACCTCACCTGCTGCTATGCCAGGTTGATAGGACTTTGCTTTAAAGTATGCACTTACACTCTTTTCTTTTAGTCTTCATGGCTAGGATTGCAAAGGAAAGATGGTTATTGAAGACATATGACAGTATCTAAATATTATTGAAACCCAGTAATAAAACATTTTAGTGCATGAAGAAAGTTAGATCACATGAATGCAGCAGGGTTACACATGCTGTCAAAGATAAGCCTGGTTGCTTCAAACAGCAGTGAATGCTGTGAAACAGCCAAGAATTAGTACATTTTGCCAAGATCTTTTAAGTAAGGCCTTGTTTATTGTATAGTGTACAGTGTTTATTGTAGATTGTACTGGTAGCAGCCAACAACTTTTTTTGTAAAGTAAAATGTTACATGTGCTTTTATGTTGATTCTCAGGAAACAATTCCAGTTCAAATTATTGTAGAACTAGGATTTGTTTCCTATGAATTCTGATCATGCGTAAGTGTTAAAATTACACTAAAGGTCCAGCCCAGGTCTCTGACATCAGTAGAAAGTGTTACATTGACTTACTTGAATTGGTTCAGACCATTACTTGTCTGGTACTCGCTAATGATAGTTTCAACATTAAGGAAAAGTATAAATGTCCTCAGATATGGTTAGTTCAGGATTCTTTTTGCTTGCTGTCATGTATCATTTATTTAGTGTTGCCTTTGGAGAACAAAAGTTTAGTTTGTGTGTATAATGATGTTGTTTTCTTTCAAATAGATTTGTTGCACACTTGAGAACGCGCTAGGACCAGAATTGTGGAGCAAGTTGGGAAAAAGAAACTATGGCCTGAAATGTTCAAAACTGGAAGAATATACAGGAGGCAGCTTGGGTCGATCTGAGGAGCTTGCATCAGGATGTTTTGTCTGTGACTTTTCCATGACCACTGGATGTGGGTGGATACTCTAACTGCTATGGTTTGCGTGTGGCACCAGACTTCCCTAAGGAACTCTAGATGGACTTTATGGACATGTATTAAAATGGGTTCTCTTATTACTAGAAACAAAGCTATTACTTAGATTTGATAAACTTTTGAATACTATGTCACCCAAATGGAAAATCTCTATTTACTGTTCATGAAGTGTAAAATACATCACTTTACTGGCCAACAGTTCAGAGGGTCAGTTCTACCATTGGCATGTATCCTGAAATCACATAAAGATGAGTTATTTTTAGATCAGTCATGCAGAAGAGGAAAAGGATTGTTTTGTAAGATTTTCAAATTGTGAACCTTGTAGTAAGCCAGCAGGAGAAAATCTAATATAAATCAGGAAGATTAATCATCTTACACAGGATATTTTGTGGATTGTTTACGTTCAGGTTCTTATGTGCACATAAGCAATACATTAAAGAGTGATCTCTTTCAGGTAAAAAGTGTGCAAATGAACTTGTTTGAGTAATTTACATAATGGAATTTAGCACATATTCTAGAAAATTCCTTTTCCATCCATGCCTTAGCAAACTATTGAAAACAGTTTTTTATGGAAGGCAAGAATGTATTACATGGGCAAGTGGTGCCTCCCAAGTCTTGGGGGGCACCAGATCACCAATGGGGGGGGTCCCCAGTGGCTGATTGCCGACTGGGGAAAGGTCCCCTAGCGGCTGATCACCGAGCCAGTAGCAAAATCGGAAGTGCACTTCCACTGGCACTTCCAGTTTCATGGCTGGTGCTTCTAGGAGGTGCATGGCTGTTCTCAGGGGGTGCACGTGCACTCGTGTGCATCCCTTACACGTTGCTAATGATGCATTACATACAAATATAAATACAGTTGCATGAACAACTGGTTATTAATAATCTCCAGACTGAAA